TTCTATTCTATTCTATTCTATTCTATTCTATTCTATAATCTTTTTGAATTTTGCGAGTCAAATGAGTGAACTTTGTATTAAAATTGAGTGAAATTTGTAAAAAATTGTTTAATACACTTTTTGCCAAAATTTTCAATACACAGAGGCAAATATTCAGAATTACATATTGTAAAATTGATACACTTAAAGCTGTTGGTCTTACTATTGGTTGATTGTAATAATTTATTTTCCATTGACAATGTTTAGAATAAACATACCTGTATGTACCACGCTGTGATGAATTCAGTAAATGTTTCTGAATATTTTGTTTTTGCTTTTCTTCATTGGTCAGTCAAGTTCATTGTGTTGATACTTCAGATGATCAAGTGAAATGGGCCAATGATGAAATCAAGACAAAGTCAGAGAGATTTTTATTGGATGTATGTTGCTATGACAACCACATGGAAGCTGCTAGTAACGTAAAGGTGAGGACAAGGATTGGGTACCTATTAGAAAATAGATTCTCAGAAAACATTTTTGTTGATGTTCTCAGCTTTTTGTTAAAAAAATTTGAGTAAAAAAAAAATAAAATTAGGATTTTATTTTGTGGAAGGTGACAAAAAACGTTTTTGGGAATCAATAAGTTAATTATGTATGGTTCATAAAATAAAATTATGTAAAAATTGCAGAAATTTACGTATGTCTGCGTAAATTGTCTCCACAGCCAGGTCAATTTGTGTTGATACACAACCTCCATGCTGCCAGACATAAAGAAGAAAATTCATTGAATATTTCATCTGTGATTGAATTCTCATTGCATCATGGCACTGCTTATGGAAGGGGATTAACAGTACTTACATCAGACAGCTGGGAAGCACAGCAAGTGAAAAGGTAAGACCCACTCAATACACGTAACTATGTGCTCATCTGATTGTATTCCCTGTATGGGGGACATCTCCCACCAGCAGGTTTTCAGAAAGGTGTGAACATTTTGTATGGAATTGTATGAAACATTTACTGTGAAATACCTTCACATAACATTCAAATCAGTATTATCAAAGCACCCATCACTCATGAGTCTCTGCACCTTTCCTTTGCACGGTACTTTGATCTTGTTAATTGAAATCAAAACACTTCAAAATAATTGTTCCCAGTTGTATATTTTGGACAGATAAAGTACTGTACTGTCACTACAGATTTTCAGTAGGGAAATTGATGAGAATGGTAATCACTTGATGATGCTGATCATTGTGTGGTTGTCATAGTTACTGTGGATGAGATTATGTAACAGTGTTACAAATGGGTATTGTCTCTGATCTAAAATGGTTTCTCTTTGAAAACCCATGCACGCTGCCATGGCTTGCTTTGCTCGTTATTAATGATGACAAATCTGTTTTAAAAATTGTAATGATATATGTATTAGTATTCATATCAACACCATGGTAACCACTGCTTAAATAGACTTTAACAATTTTATTTATTTTTTGTGTATTTCAATGATGGTGACTTAAACCCATAAAAAAAACGTATGAAGAAATCGACTTGTAAATTTTCAATTAATTTGGATGTTACATTACATTTTATTTGCTCACACTCACAGAACCATGGAAATATCGACTGCTGCACAGAATACAGTTACAGACGTGGGACGAAATCCAAGACCTGGAAAACATAACGTGGTTGATGATGTCATCACCATTGTTGACAGCGATGATGACATGAATCAAGTTAATGATTCAGTCCAATCACAGATGGTTATCATTGATGACGAAGTTTTTATCAGGACTAAGAGAAAAAAACAGAGTAACCCTTTAACACCTAACAATCCAGCACCAATCATTGACCTAGATCCCTCCAGTTCATCTGTTGAACTTTTAGTGCCCAATAAGAAGAGTGGTGCCCAGGTGCACAGTGAAAAGTCCACCAATCAAAACTCACTTGTTGAGTTACCCACCAATCAGAAACGATGGATGCAAGAATCAGCTTCAGGTAAAATGTTGATTTCAAATAATGCAAACTAAGTGCTTTCTCAGAGAATAAAACAATCTATGCTATTCATCCAATCTATCGTGCAACAGACTATTACTGTTTATATACAGTACATATGCACATCCCTTTATTAATGGTGAACGTAGCTATTGTAAACCACTTTAGTTTTATGAGAGAGAAGTTTTTAGAAATTTTGCAAGACAATGAAAATCGCGAACATTTGGTAGCAGTGGAAGTTTCCAACAATACAAAGTGTAAGTGATGACTTTCATGGAATTTTGTCTTCACAAAATGTCATAAAATCAGGAAAATTTCAAGGTTTATATTTATATAGTTAAAAATGCAGAACATTTAGAAATCATTTCATTTTTGCTAAGTGAGAATAGAAGGGGGATCCAATACTTGTTTCTATGGAAACAGTGATTCCCTCATCTTCTTAAGCTGCAATATGAAAATTGATTGGTGCAGCTGAGGTTCATAATTCAAAAATTAGTTCAGTTATAATGTTTTTTTCTTCAGACTGTTAAATAATGTTACCTTGAAAACACTGTGTTCATGCATTCTTTAATCTCATGGATGAGTCACTTTGATTATATGTTCACATATTGAACATAGTGATACTATAGAAACTTTTCCCTACTTGTATTGCTATTTCAGTTATAACGCATCATCATCATATTAGTCCTGTGCGGTTACGTGATGTCACATGCCACGCCGTGCCCTACAAGTTCCGCATCAGAGCCATGGTGCTGTCCTATTTTCCCAGGAAGGTTATTGACTTTGTACATCTACAATGTACAAAATGTAGATACAGGTAAGTCTATTGTGAGATTATTACGAGG